CGCATCTGCATTGGGTCCTTTCCTTCTTCCAGCATGAAGAGTCTATTTATGGGCTCAGATTTGTAATTAAATGTTTAATTTACAAAAAGAATGGTTCCCAGGAAATTGTGGGCTCTATTTCTGCGCTTGTGTCAGGCTTTGTCAGACATTACATAAGAGATTTGCCCATGTTGGCCTGCTGCTTCTGGCTTTTCACATAATCCTTTGTATTATGTTTCCAGTGCATGTAGATAATGTAATTTAACATTTTTCTAAATGCCTACATGCAGGAAAGCTAACCTTATATGAGCATACTTAGAATTTATTTATATACTGTAAAAATTCAACTGAATCAGAATTACTGGAAAATGCCTTATGCTATTTTTTTCCTACTTGATCATGTCAGTTGCTTTAACTGTATATAAAGTTCACTTTGGCAGCAATGGCTGTCCTCTACTGCTTTGTTTCTATGGGTTGTTACTCCAAAGCCCCAAAGTTCTAATAAATCGTGTTAAACAGGCTTAAAAGTTTGTGTGAATAATGTCTTCAGGTTGCTGACACTAATGTAGACTTTCATTTTGATAGCTGTGAGATAAACAGAACCACAGTCCTTGTTGCTCTAGCTACCATTTATACTATTAACTACTGCAGTCTGGACTTGCCTGGGAGATAAATGTGATCATGGACGAGCAATTAGGAAACGGTTTTGTGAAGATCTGAGCTTTATGTTGCAGAGTAGCGTGGCAGAGAAGCAGCCTATTTCCTGAAGGTCAGAATGTATCACAAGGGGATGAGCTCACACTGGGGTGAGGAGGGAATGAACACAGTTTTAATTAATGTGTTTTAGTGGTGTGGGGAAGAGAGGAGGCAGAAGGCTTCTCTTTGGTGATGCAAGATTGATGACACTTGACCACACACATTTTGATGCCTGAAGGCCGTTCACAGGCAGTTTTATTTTTACTTGAGTGTGTGTATGTTTAAGGAAAAATAAAAAAAGACTGCTCAGTCTGGATTTCAAGAAAAGGTAACAGTTTGGTGCTGATACAGCATAGTGTGTATGCTCGTGTGCCTTTAGGTATGTTCCAATGTATACACTGAAGACAGAGAGAAACAAAGAAAAACCTCCAGGCTTCTTGTTTGGCAGTTTACCTCATTTTAAGTTGAATAAGTAATGGCAAAACCATTGTGTAATGAGCAGTCATCCTCTGCTCCAGAAATGAAAAAAAGGATAAAGTAATATCAAAGCTTGACTTTGGTGCTCCTCATAGAAATGTGAAGGGGAGGTTTAATGCCACACTCAGTATAGTGAAAGGCTTGGAAAAATGAGATGAGTCTGTCTTGGCTTTGGTTTTGGATAAAGCAAAGCCTCAGCTATGGCTGAGGCACTTAAATGTCATGCAACGCAAACACTCTGAATGCAGATGAAACAGGTGGGTAAGAGGTTGGAACAGGCTGCCCAGAGAAACTGTGGCTGCCCTGTCCCTTGCAGTGCTCAACGCCAGGTTGGATGGGGCTTTCAGCAACCTGGTCTAGTGGAAGGTGTCCCTGCCTGTGGCAGGGAGGTGGAACTAGATGAGCTTTGAGGTCCCTTCCTCTCCTTCCTAACTTGAGGTCCTTCCACTTCCTAACACTTTATCTGTTCTATGATTTAGTGTTAAATTTGTCTTAAACCCTGAAGCACTCTGTTATGCCTCTCCCTTCCAAACTTGGTGTCTACAGCTGTAACGGAGAAGGTTCGTGTTAACCATGTAAATACCTAACCCTGCTTTCAGTCTTGCTAAGTTCTTGGCCTTTTTGACATCCAGTGACAGTAACATTTTAGTATATTAAGTTGTGCAGGAAAAATTCTACTCTTTTTCAGTTTTGAATTTTCTCACTTTTAATGTTATGATCTGTCTCCTTGCTTGTGAGTTAGAACACAGGACAGAAACTTTCAGGCTTTTCCACAATGTTAGTTCGTGTCAGGCTTTTGTGGTATCTTCCCTGCTATTTGTCTCTTCTGTTGTAATATTCTGAGGCTTTTGAGGCAGCATTTTGCAGTTACCTGGAGATGCATGGATCTCTGCATGAATCTAGTCCACCTCCTCTTGAGGAGTTGTTTTCTGGGTGAGAAACTACTGGGTTGTGCCTTTCCCCTCCCAGGTTGCTGTACAAGCTTCCTGCTTGAACCTTAAGAGTCAGTCTCCTGAGTGACCTGGTGGCCATCAGGCTGGCAAATTTGGGTTTTTACATCCAAGCAGTGAGCCTGCGTCTCAGGCATTTTAGCATTTGATCATTGTCTATGGGTGGGCTAGACAAAAACAAACAAAATGTAATCATGGCAGCCTAATGCAGAATAAATTATTTCAATCCACTGAATTCTGTAGCAGGCAGCAGTACTTTGACTTACGTGAACAGAAGAAATGGAACAACTGGGCTGGCACAAAGCTTGGAGGGCAGTGCCAGTAACAAGCCTGACTTCTCTGAAACCAGATCCTGCCCTGACCCTGATTAATTACTCAGGGGTTGTTCGCACAACCAAATTCCTGCTGTCAGTGCATCCAGTGCTGCCTGCCAGTGAAAATAGAGCAGTTGTAATCCCTGTGAATTATCCCTGTGGTTGGCTGTAGTGTCCTATCAAATGATTATCATGTGATAGGGCCCCTAGTGCTTTCCAGCTCCTCTGGTTCCCCGATGAAATATTAATATGCTTTTAACATTTAAGGTTATTATTCTTGTGTGCTATACTTCAGGCTTATCTTTTTCCGCAGCCATCATATACTTTATAGAGCCAGAATACCCTCTATAGCAGAACAGATCTTTCTGTCTTCCATGACAGACTTACAATTAATGGCCTTAGTTGAATCTTTATGCTAAGTAACCAGCAGTGCTTTAAATACACTAACATGGGCTGAAGTAAGCGTAATGCAGTATGAAGTACACAGCTTTTCCCAGAAGAATTGTTTCTTTCATCTCTGAGTTAGTAAGTAGAGATTGGGAACCGGCTGTAGCCTGGCTTGCATGTTAACTTGCCATGAACAGCATGTGGCAGCTGGACCATGGTGGGATTGGGGGCTGGCTTCAGACTGCTGGGTGTGAGATCTGGGAGGCAGGGAGATGTGCTTTGGATACAGAAGGAAGCAAGGAGTTAGATTTACTTAAATGGCACAGTTTTGATATCCAGCCAGGTATATTTTTAAGTCCAATTCTAGGCTTTTCAAAATCTCAGATTCCTTTTCTCTCCAAAATTCCCTGAAGCTCCTTAAGAGGAATGAAGCAGGTTTATTTGATTCTATTCTTGTTCTTGGACTTATAAAGTTCACACTTTGGAGTCTTCTTCCTTACTAGGGTGAGAAATGCATGTTAAAAAAGAAAGTTAATTTCTGATAATCATCTATGTCCAAGAGCTTGAAATGAGAGCAAAGAACAAAACAAAACAAAAGTGTAAGAGCAGACCTGCAGACCAGCAGAACCTGCAGGCTGGCAAAATTTTTATGAATGAGTGAATCCAGGCTTTTCTCAGCATGGAACTTGCACAGGAAAGTGATTGCTTGCACACAGGTATTTGGCTGTGCAGGTTTTAGCTCTTGCCAGCTTTTTTTGAAAACATATTAGCTGCCTTGATGTCTGAAACTCCCTGGGGAATACCCACAGAGAGCTCTGAAAGTGGCACTGTTTTGCTAATTAGTAAGGCCAACTGTTGTCTGGCTGAATTGTCTGCATTAACAACGGGCTCCCTCTGCCTCTGCTCTCCAGTTTTAATTCTAATGCTAAGAGAGCACACTGTGTTTATGCTAATAATTCTGGCTTTCTGAGGTAAGGACATATGTGAGGTGTGCTGCATTTCCTAATTGTTTCATTCTAGTCTTGCCCATCCATGAACAGTATTTGTAGGTTTTATTCTTTTCTGTAAGGAAAGGTCATCATAGTTGGCATGCCTGCAGCAGGTATTTCAGGGAAAGAGAGCAAAGGAAAGACGCCAGCTTTAGCTTTAATTGTTACCATCTAGCTAGGGTATTGATATGGCCATTCATGAAACAGCAGTTGAGCACCTCATGGTCAGTGTTGTACCCTTACAAACCTCTTTATTGAATAGAGAAGATCATCCTGTGGGAGGAGAATTGAAGTAAAAAAGTGTCAAGTGGTTTGCTCCAGGTTACTAAAAAAAAATTAAATCTATAGCAGAGAGGACACTGAGCAACTATCAGGTGCAGGTAAGAGCCCATTACATGGGCTTTGTCCTCCTGGCTGGGGATGTGGCAGGAGTCATGTCAGTAAATCCGTCTCTTCTGAGGGTAGACAACAAATTTCTCTCTGAGAAATTGGAGCTGCTGTTGAACTTCTCAAGAGAAAGGGTATCTTATTTCCCCAAAATAGAGAAACCAAAAGACAGGCTCTCTGGCTGAGACACAGGTTTTGTAATTTTGGCTCATTTTTTCCCCTTCAGTGTATGGTGAGGTCATATTTTTGTAGAGTTTTAGGTACATGGTTGAATGTTGCTAATGAATGTATTTCAGAGTAAACATGACTGGCATAGAACTAGTTTTATTGCAGTGTTAATTTTGAATCCTGCAATCAAAAATAACCTCACCCTCATTGGACACATCTGCCTACACTAAGCTGTTTTCCTGTAAACAAGATGAAGCCCAGGGTCTGGTATGTGGTACTGATACCATACTGAATCTTCACAATATCGTAATTGCACTGCAGAGGACAGCTTTTTTTGCCAGAAGGGAAAAAAAAGTGCATAATGTATTGAAATGCTATGGGGACTTGTTCTGCACCTGTGTGCATAGGCACAGGGTAAGGAAAGGGACACAGCTGCAAGAAGGTGATTTTACATGAAACATGACATGGGCTCGGGTAGACCACCAAGATTTTGGGTTGTTGTACTTCACATGTACATGTCTAAGCTATGTGTGTACAGGGGCTTCCAGCTTTGGTGGGCGCAGTGCTACCTACCTGGCTTTGTTCCTGGCTTCCTTCCTGACTTTTCATAGAATCATAAAGTGGTTTAGGTTGGAAAGGACCTTAAAGATCACCCAATTCAAACCCCCCTGCCACGGGCAGGGACACCTTCCACTAGACCACATTGCTCAAAGCCCCATCCAACCTGGCCGTGGAGACTGCCAGGGATATGGCAGTTCTGGACAGCCTGTTCCAGTGTCTCACCACTCTCTAGTAGAGAATTTTTTCCTTATATCTATTCTGAATCCTCTCTGCTTAAGTTTGGACCCCCAGTTTTGTGCCCCCTTTGAAATGTCCCATTGCTTTGGGTATGTGACTCATCCAGTCTGCAACATGGGGGATCATTGTGGAAGTTTTGGTTAGGAACGGAGTGGGCATGAAGTATGTAGGGATAGCAGATCCTTCTGGCACAATGTTGTGCAGAGCACTTCCTGCACCACGAGATTCTAAGGCAGAAGTGTGGAATTTCTCCCTTTATGATAAAATTATGCACATCATCTTTGTTGAGCTGATGTCCATAAGCAGTGTGCATCCTAACCCACAAAATTAATTTTGTGGTACTGAGATGCAACAGGGCAACTCAAATTAGAACTTTACTAGTGCGACCAAGTTGTGTTGTTTCGTGGCAGTTTAGACCAGATGCTTAGCAAAATAACTGTTTGTTACAGGTTTTATGTATAAGTTACCTTTTTATTTCTTAATGTTAGTAAAGGACATAAAAATGAGAAGCCAAAATATAGGTATTTTTTTTGATTGACAGTAATGGCTTTGAGTGAAGCCATTTAAATATTATTTACATATTATTTGAAGCCATAATAAGCTATCATGTCAATCCGTAGCATGGCATTGTTATTAAATGAGTCTCCGACAGGGTAACTCATAATGGTGTTATGCAAATTAAGCACATTTAAGAAACTTTTGTAAGAACATTACTGTACAAGCAATGTAGCTAAGTTTTCAACATCAGTGACTCTGTCAGTTTAATTTAAAATGCATTCTCTGTATGTGTGGCTAATGTCTCTCATCTCTTTAATAAGGGCCAGGCTCAGCAAACACTCGATGTGTAAGTCCCCCTGATTTAAACAAATACTTCAGCACACAGGACTTTACTAATACTGCTTTTCTGAACTCAAACTGACAACTACCCTTGCAGGATGGAGAGATAGAAAATAAAAGATTGTCCCCTCTCCCTGAAAAACTTTGTTTCTGTGGCAGACTTTGGATGTTGAGATTGGTAAGACTTGGATGGAAAAGGGGATAGGGTGTGGTTTAATAAGGGAATGCTGGCAAGCTTTAAGCATTTGTAATGGTGGCAAAGAACATTTCTCTGTAAGTGGTTTCTGGTTATGTAGTTCTACACCATAAACACACAGCTGAGTGATTAGGTCAGCTGGCCATATGGTTTTGGAGAAAATGACTGTGTTCCAAGGCAGGTGCTCAGCTTCCTCATGAAGGTACAGAGCATCAGAGTGATGTTGTCTAAGCTCTTTTGTAAAAAGTTCCGAGTACAGATACTACAGGATTATGAACCCCATTTCTCTGTGCAAAACACTCAGAACTACCTGGCTGGCTGAAATAACAGCTTCAGGAAAATGTAGCTCAGAGCTGTATAGCCAAAGTTAAAAAGGACTATGGATACTATTCCTGAGCCTATGATGAGAATGAGACTCCCCAGACCTACAGTGCAGCATCTTCTTACAGGCTTTCATGTCAGTGTCTGAGGAGCAAAAGGGTTGAGTCCCACCAGAGGCTGGGGAGCTATTCCAGCCTTCCTTTGCACTGTGTAGAGGTAGCGTTCAGGCTTCATGGGAGCCTGCTATACCTCCTTGTAGTAAGTATGTCACTTGAAAAATGACCACAGTCATAAAATTGTCATGTAGGATTTCCTTTGAGTCCTGGAGTGTCTGACAAAATACACTCGCTCTGCATGCCAGGGCTGTTCTGAGTTTGTAGGATGTTACCTTCTGTTCGTTTTGTATTTCGAGGTTGCTCAGCAGAGATGTAGCTGTGTAAAGAGTTGTATCTCCCTCTTTGTGCAGCTGCTTCCCTTTCTCTTTTGTGAGCGCACCTATTCACACACAAGCACACACTGCTACCAAAAGAAGTATTGGGAATAGCCTTACTGGCCCAGCCAACATGCTGTCAGCACCATTTGAAGCCAAACTTGCTTAGATTTTTTTTGGCTGTGGAGATTCCTGAAATACAGAAGAAAGCAAAACTAAAACTATATTTTAACCAAGCGAGGATGCATTCTTTCATTGCAGCCATCCCATGAGGTTTGGCCAGGCCATCAGCATGGGTTTGTAAGAGGCATTCGTGAAAGCAACTGCCAAGAGAGTGGCTTTGGAGTGTCAAGCAAGATCTGGATGAAGCTTCTGTGGTATGTCAGCTGCACATTCTGACTGGCACTGATACCATGGGGGGATTGTAGGGTCTGATACGGACGCATTACGGCTGCCTTGTACTGACTCTATAAACGTTCACTTTTCAGTTCACAGTCTCAATTCCTGTACCCTGGGGAGCTTGTGATCCTTTCGTGATATACTGACGTAACTTCCAGTTGTGTTGATGATGAAGATCCTCGATACTTTCAATTTCACGAGTGTTTGAATTTTAAAATACATGTGGTTCTGTTTTGCTTTCTAACTAAAGCTTGACTGCTTAGGAACAAGCAGAAACCAAAATGCATTCTGCATAAAAGGACATGCTCCACCCCAGGCCAAATAAAGCAAAAAACCCCACAAACTCCACAAAACTTCCTTATTTGACACTGCTTCTGAATTTCTTCTTGCCCTTACAGCTGCCTTTTGATTTCCAATCCAGGTCTGCCAAAAGACTTAGATTCCAATCAAGGCAGTTTGCAGAGCAGTAATACTCAGATAAATGCAACAGGCAATCAGGCTGCTGTGAACTAATGGCAGGACATTTGAAGGGGCTGTATTTCAGATGATGGTGTCGGTTTCAGAAAGGCATGCAAACTGGTTTAATCAAATGTTACATTTTATTAAATTCCTGACCATTAGATAGGAGATTGCATAGGAGAATTTAAAAGATTGGGAGTTTCTGGCTTTATTTCTGCACTGCTGATAAGCAGTAATTTTTGCAGAAGGGGAAGAAGTAATCCTCTGCAATAAAACCATTTTCATAATACCATGGGAATGAGTTATTGCTTGAGGTGAGGCACAGTTTCTAATGGCTGCCTAAGCTTTCATCTCCATCTTTCATGGGCTAGTCAGACATTTTTATAGTGCTGACACAAAAAGAGAGCATTTATGTTGCTTCCATTCTCCATCTGTCAACAGTTAGGTTAAAGTGCCACTACAGGAATACTTTTCATCTGATTTCCATTCCAACGTGGTTCATCAATATACAGTATTCGAGCCATGCCAACTCTCAGGGTTCTAATCACACATTTTTTTATGCCCCATTAATGGTTGGCAAATAGGAAACAAAAGCCTGTCTTTTTAATGTGAAGAAGGTTGGACTTTTATTCCGGATTTCCCTCATGTACCTCCCTTACAATTTTCTAAACTATCATGAGTTGCTTTTGAGTTTGAAAAGTCAAAATAATAGGTCAAAGAGGAAGCGGATTTTCATTTTGCTTGCATGTGATACATCTGTGAACACCAATAATTGATTCAAATTCGTGCATCAGGTGGGAGCAAAAAGGTAAAGAGGGAAGCGCTGGAGTAAACCTTCTACTTCCTGTTTTACTTACAATTCGTTTCAGCTAATACACGCAGTTTTACTAGTGGCAGAGACCACAAAAAGATTTCTGTGGAGAAATTTGCAGACCTCTATGAAAAAACTTACTGCCTTATTCTGTGCTTAGTGCAGTTGTAAGGCTGGACAGGGTATAGATGTGTTTGCAGTGAGCAAAAGCAGACTATAAGGTGCACAGATTTCCTGTTTTGATCCAGTGGAAACTGATGGTGGTAATACCTGAGAAAAGGTGTGTGTAACAGAAATTACAACTGTGAGGACAAGAATTGTTACCTTCATTTTTAAGGCATATTTACTGGGCTTATTTCTAGGATAATTATTGTGAATTCCTGTTTTTTTTATTTATTTTTGGTTGGTCGTTACCTTTCTTGTAGAATAGCACCCAAATACCCCCAAGCCCAGCTTGTTTTGCTGATAGTGAGTAGAACAGAGAAGCTGTTCCAGACCACTTCAATGTATCTTCCTATGCGAGACAGTATGTAGTAAAAATATCCCCTCCGTGCTGAGAAAGAGGTGGATGGGGGCTGGCAAGCTTATTTTAAATTAAAAAAAAAAAAAAAAAGAGAAAAAGTTAAACTGAAGAGGGGGAAAACAATGGTTTTAACAGGGTTTTCTTCCCAGTACCCCTGTCCCTCGGGTATGCAATATTTGCTTAGTGTAAATTTCTTCCAGCTTTCTCTCAGATTTCGAGTGCCTCATTTTTCTCTAGCTAATATAGTGCAGTTCATATACTGTATTTTATGGGCGACTGGCTTCCAGAGGAAGGTAGGTGTGAAAGACCAACACAACCATGAAACTGAGTTATATGGAGTAATCACTACAGGGGAGAAGGGGTGGTTAGTCCCTTTCCTGTCGCGGTCAGAGGAGACTTTCACGCTATGGGAGTGATTGTAAAGATTCAGAGGAGGTATTACTGGATTTTAAGTTGTTTCCAGTTCTTGGCTGAAATTCCTGGCTTCTGGAAACTTTACATTATGTTTCGGAGCAATCCTGAGGGTGGTGTTGCCTACTGGAGTGGGTATTATAACACCCTCAGTCTGCGCCTGGTTCAAGCTACATGATTAACTTGTTAGCTGTGGTCTTGCGGTCTGTGTGTATACAGATGTAAAGTGCTGTATCTTGGCTTCGCATAAACAAAAGGCTTTTTTGTCTCAACAAAGTGCATTGTGTTGTGTTTCTTGCTGTCAGAGTCTGTGTATTCATGTAATTAGGACTGTGCAGCTGGTGTGTGTGGTTGTGTTTCTGAGCTCTTATGCAGTTGAGATACAGGCCTGAATTTTCACAGAATTAAGAGATCAAATCCAGAATTCCTTGGATTGCCTTTGTACTGTGATAGGGTGATGCAAGGGATCAAAATGTCTTAAAAATGCATTTCTTTGGGGGTTTAAGTTGTTTAAATTGTGCATGGTTTTCAAGTCTGATCTTACACTTTCTTTCATG